TATATATATACAATCACTGATATATATTATTTGTTTGTCATGGGAGTTCTGTGTGCCATATTTGGTTCAATTCCATCATTGGTGGAGTTCAGAATGCTCTTTATTGTAGGTGAACTATACATCCCAGTAACTACAACTCACATATGTCAAGGTCTATTTCCCCCCAAGAGCAGCCTCAAGAGCACTCCTGGGCAAAATCAACTATACTGCAAATGCTTACTTTGCATTATGGGTTGAGCCTCCCCTGACTATGAGCATAACTGGTATTCAGTGCAGAGCTTGAAAACGTAACTTTTGAACAGCAGCTCTCAGAATCTCCTAATGGCCATGCTTTCTGGTGGATTCTGGAAGTTGTATTTCAAAAACTGGCATTTTAAAGTTTTAGGTGAAGGACTATAAAGGCTTTAGCCCAACAATCTATAGAGAGACACAAACTTTCCACCACTGCTATAGAGAAAAAAGAAAAGATTGATTATTTCAGGCAAGATGTTTGCAGACAAGACTGCAAAGCAGAAGTGTATCCTGAATCACCCAAGCAAAGCCCAGTCTGAGGATACCTTCAAAACAGAGAAAGGAGAAGCCAATGGGATGGAGAAGGGAATGATACAGCAGACAAAGGTGTGGACCATTAGCGATAATGAGATAAACTTAATTGCAAAATGCAGTACTCTTCCTCCCTACACACCCAGGAGAAAGAGGCAAAAGAAATTTATTGGTTTAAGCCAGGTCATAATTTCATTATTTTTATCTACGGAGATCTGCAACACAATCACTCTGCAGAAGACTAGCTGGGGCAGGAATCAACTTGTGACTGGATCAGATCTGAAATGTCTCAAAAGATGTATATAAGTTGAGGATCTTTTATCCAAAATGCTCAAGACTAGAAGTGTTTTGGATTTCGGGGGTGGGTTGGAATATGTCTACTTTGCATATGTGTTCACAATGAGATATTTTGGCGATGGAACCCAAGTCTAAAAACAACATTGATTTCTGTTTCATATACTTCTTACACATATAACTTGTAATTGCATACATTTTTTAAAAAAAAAATGTTGTACATGGTACAGAGTTTGTGCACACTGAATCAACAGAGAGCAAAGGCATTACTATTCCAGCCACCCATGTAGATAATTAGGGTTTTTGAAATATTTTAGATTTAGAATAAAGGATGTTCAACATGTGTGTGCGTGCATGTACATGTTCATTTTGAGATTTTTCTTACATTTCTGGGCAGCCAGCTTTGCAGAATTTTGTTTAATATTTTCTATCTGTCCTTTTTGGGTGGGCCTGGCATCCAACTCTCTTTCTCCAGTTTACCATACCTCAGATCAATGTTGAAGAGTACAAAATGGTGGCCAACTTAGTTCCTGCAACTACTGCTTGCATTAAGAGGCAAACTCTGCCAATGTTCTAGGGCACTGGTTCTCAACCTATGGGTCCCCAGATGTTTTGGTCTTCAACTTCCAGAAATCCTAACAACTGGTAAACTGGTAAACTGGTTGGGTTTTCTGGGAGTTGTAGGCCAAAAAATCTGGGGACCCAGAGTCAAGAACCACTGTTCTAGGGATATCTGGACTCTGGGGGTCAAAGGACACTTATTCATTGATTAGCAGGAATACTAAAGTTAACTTCCATTCCTCACCCCATTTAGTTCCTGAGCTTAGCTGTGATCCTCCCAGTAACTGTAGCGAAATGAATTTTCCCATCAACAATATAATGTTGCGAACTAACCCTAACCCACTGGCTCCCCCTAGACTTCATGTTCATTTGCTGAGATAAGTTTAAAGATGCCTGGTTGAACGAGGTATAATTTCTATGTTAGCCTTGAACTACGCCAAACCAGCTTGTGAGCCATTGGGATGCTTGTATTAGAATTAGAAGCTGTGCACAGATGACTTTTCATCTGATTCGGCTCTTTCGGCCAGCTGTAATGGTACATGTGACACCACCATTGCCAATTTATTTTCAGCCACAACAGACCACACAGCTGCCAACCACTTTCAGTTTCATTTGGCTGCTGGATAAAAATGGAATTTTACCCACCCGAATTTGGGAGGCTCCCGAAGGAGGGACACCAAAAACCAGACACCGAAAACAGAACGGGGTTTAGCCGAATTGCACACCCCTAATAGACAGTGGCTTGGTGTCATCCTGTGCCTTTTATGCTTGATTCCATTCTTGTCTCCCTCTGTGATAGATGAAATACACACCATCTTACTGTCAGCCCTCCATATCCACAGATTCTGCACCCAGGGATTCAACTATCAATCATTTGAAAATATTTTTTAAAATCCCAAAGGCAAACTTTGATTTCTTGCCATTTGAAAAGAGGGACATCATTTTATTATAACATTGTATATAATGGGACTTCAGGATCCATTGATTTTGGTCTGCATGGGGGGGGGGGGTTCTAGAACCAAACTCTAATGAATACCAAAGGGTGTGAGGTAAGAATTACAGTTCTAAGAATATCCCAGCTTGCCATGTATGGTTTCTTTCCAGGAACTGAATGTTTGCCTTACTWGTTGGAAACTGTCCTGAGTCCTTGGGGAGATAGGGTGGTATACAAATAAAGTTTTATTATTATTTATTGGGAGCTGTCATTCAAAGAAATAATATTTCTAACATAGTTATTTTGTATTTGTTTTAACTTCTCTTCCTTTTTTCATTATCATAATCATCTGGAGCTGGTTTTGTTATTGCATCTCAGACTAATTTTTTCTTCTGCATTCAAGAATGCATGTGTTTCAGGATGGAAGTACTAGAGATCCAACTAGTTAGACTAGGGTGTAATTTACCTCTCATTCCTTTGCTCCCTCTTCCCCTCTCAGGAGTATTCACACTAGAAGACAAACATACACACTCCCATTGGCTCATTTCACACTTCTCTCTCTTTTAGGATTGCTCTTTACTTTGAGAAAATCCAATAAGAATCTCTACCCCACCCCCATACCCACACACTCAGGCCCTTCTATGCTGCTTTTTATCCCAGGATGTGATCCCAGGTTATTTGCTTTAAACTGGATTATATGAGTCTCCACAACCAGATAACTTGGGATAAACAGATAATCTGGGATCACATCCTGAGGTCACTTCCAAACAGTACTTAAACATGCACTGGGGCAGGTTTAAGAAACCCACTTGAGCACACATTTAAGTCCACACACCTTCCCCTAAATTATGCACTTTACCATTGTGGTGTCTAGATGCCATCCTGGTATCTTCTGAGAGGGCACTGAGACACCCAACTCACTCCCACCCCCAAAAGGCCTTAAAATAGAAAATAACTTACCCGGCTGCCATTAGGACTCATAGCATTCTTCCTGGGATGTATCAATAGAGCCCTAAGAGACAAAGGGGAGCAATTCCCCCCACCCATCTCTTAGTGCTACATTGGCACATTCCAAAAAGCATAATGGCAGTAAGTTTTTATTTTATTTTAAAAGTTTTAGGCGGGATTTGGGGAGGGGATGGGTTTTCTCTTTAATTCTCAGGGTCAGTCCCCACAGGTCCCATATTCCATTAGACCTGGGTCAAGACCTGGCTTTATGAACAAGCGTTTGGCTAATTGTGCAATGAAACACAGTAAGATGGTACAACTGAACATAGGAACTGTATAAAGGACTATGATTGCGGATTCTAATTTTGATTTGTTTGCTGAGGCGCACGTCTATGTTAATTGATTGCTTGATTTGATATGTCTTGTATAATGTGTTTTAACTGCTTTTTGATATTGTTGTGTTAACCTTTACTATGTAAACCGCCTTGAGTCGCCTTTTTTGGCTGAGAAAGGCGGTATAGAAGTAAAGCAAATAAATAAATAAATAAATAAATAATGGAGTATCAAATTAATTCAGGGCAAAGCAGAGTTTTCCTACTTTGTTTCAAATTAATTGAGTTTCCCTGGAGACATTGTTTGGATGCCTCAGGAAAAACTGTGGGAACTCCCGTGTTTTGGGCCCTGTCTGGATGGACCCTAGGATATAGGGACAGTGTGGAAGGGGCCACATACATATACTTCTCATTCATTCATTAATACTGTATGTTCAATATATCTGTGTCATGTATACAGTACATACTGAAGAAGCCTCTGTGCTTTTAATGGTTGTGTGACAAACAACAAATGCTGAAATTTCCTCTTCTTCACAACTATTAAAAGCATAGAAGCCCTTGTGTTTTAACTTTGGCAAACCTAATTTGTGTACAACAACTTGTGACCTTTTCACAACTGACATTCAGATGTTTTCTTTACTCTTTACCTATATTGGTTATGAAAGCTGTTGAGTTAAATGACAGTTAAAAGTGATGTTTGTGAAATAAAATCGCTTGGTACTCTTAGATTTCTGATTGCTTTCAAGCAGAGGTAAAGTTTTATTAAAGGTACAGGCAAAGTGAGGGCAGGAAAAAAATCAAAGAAAGAAAGAGAAATTTGAGAGCATGACCCATGGAATTTGATGGGATATTTTTCAAAATAGATATTAATAGGATTTTCTTGTTAATGCATTTATCACATTAAATGAAGGAAATTTAAACAATTCATAAGCAAGAAAATGAACAATTCTTAAGTAACACCTCTAAGTTTCATTTGCTCTGGGAACTTGTAAATGTGTTTTCTTTTAATGTCACAAACTGGAGGAGGGTCAACATTCCAGATCAAATATGCTGTTAAAAAGGTGATTTTAATTCTAAAATATTACTAATTTGTTAATTTAGGTGCAATTTCATCACAACTGCAATTTTCTTTGTTGTCATATAGTATCTCTGGTTTTATTTAACCATGTTTGACAAAATATGTCCACTCCAGGCATTTTCTAGGTCCTTCAGAATGTGGTATTCTTGGACCAGAAGTCCTTCATTTCAATAGAGTTCTCTATTATCCACATTTTCAGATATCCATGCAAAGTTTGAGAATGTGCCCCCTCCAATGGATATGGGGACCATACTGTAATAGGTTTTGTGTCAGCATCCACATGTAAATTTAATCAGTTCCCACACCAATAACCATGTTGACTAGAGTTGATGGGAAGTGCAGTCCAACACATTTGGAGGGCACCAAATTGGAGAAGTCTGATGCATATCTTGTAAAAGAAAAAAAACAAATTGTGTATGGAGATAGTTGGATGTTATGTATTTAGAACCAACTCTTTTGAATTGATGACACCAGCAGCATCTGTGATCTGGAAGAAGAAACCCTGGTCACTCCTAGCATTGTAGAAGGTCTTGCTTAATCCATTATTTGAGTTGGAAGGATGTGTTGGGAAAGGAAGATGCCAGCTTTGCTTTTGGCTCAATACCTGTGTTGATAACCTATAAAACAAAGATGGATATGTTTATTTCACAGTTATAATTTGTGACCAGCCACTATGGAGTAAAAGAGAAATGGGACAATGGATGCTGTGCACAGATTGAACCTTACCAGAAGTCATTGTTGTAAAGAATTCTTTCCTTTTTGTTCCTCCTTCTATTCCTCCATCCCCTTCTGAGCATAGGCTTGGCATTCATCTGCCTCTGAAGAACAAAATATGAGAAGTCAGGAAAATATGTAGGAATGTGAAAAAAGATTCTATTCTGAGTTTCACTGAATTTTTTTCCATTTGATGTGGAATCTTTTCCTGTAGTTGTTGCTTTATATCATTATAAAACTTTTTATTTTCTTCTCACAGTGGGATGCGAGGTTATGTTACAGTTTCCCAAATGCACAGATTTATTTGCACAGTTGACTTTATTCACATTTTAAAATATGTTCATCATATTATGCATACTTTATTTCTCAGAATGAAATGTGCTTGAGTCTGACAAAAGCTTTAGGTAAATTGTACTTTTCCTTGCAGCAAGCCTCAGGAGATGCAAAAAACCCCAAAACCCTACTTTCATTAACCCTGTCTACCTTTCCCTGGTTACTAAATGAGTATTCCATTCCTGACCATTAATTTGCAAACATCAGGACTGTTTGCCTTACAAGCACTGTGACAGGACAGAGGAAAGACATTGTACTATTGAATAACACCTTGTACAATTATGATAAATGGATATATGCACATAGAAAGTATGTGTCATCAATAACATTTCATCCAATATCTACTTGAGTCTCATATTATAAGATTAATAATGATAATGTTACTTCCTTCCATTATTGTTCATAATCTGATCAAGCATCTTTTCTCAAATTCTTCAAATGCTTTGCATTAGAATTTTTTAAAATCAAATCTCACATACAAAAAGTTCTGAAATTGACTTTAAAATGTTACTAGATTTTTTTGGCCCCTCTTTAATCTTTGCTGTTTAGCTGGAAAACCTTGATTTATACATGGTGTTAGGCAAAATTTCAGTGAAAACAACTGTAGAATAAATAGCAGAGTTGTTATAACAGAAAATGCAAAACACATGAGTTCTTTTATGATATACAGTAGAGTCTAGCTTATCCAACATAAATGGACCAGCAGAACGTTGGATAAGCAAAAATGTTGAGTAATAAGGATTAAGGAAAAGCCTATTAAACATCAAATTACATTATAATTTTACAAATGAAGCACCAAAACATCATGTTTTACAACAAATCAACAGAAAAGGCAGTTCAATAGATAGTAATATTATGTAGTAATTATTGTATTTATGAATTTAGCACCAAAACATTGCAATGTATTGAAACAGCTGTGTATCCGGGCAAGGAGCAGACTGTGTTGGATAATACAGAACACTGGGTGAGAAAAGGTGAGACACTACTGTATATGGACAGTCTTCTTGAGCAAATCTTAAGACTTCATCACACACAATAAAATTGATCATTTCTACACGTTTAAGAAATGGTTACCAAAAGAGCCATCGCATGATGCAAGCTTGTACACTGATACAAGCTTTTCTAAAGTGTGTTTTTTCCCTACGCTTTCTAAGTTGATTGGCAAATGATTCCTTTTTCCATTTATGTAGGGCATGTAAAAATGCCCATTTTACTGTGTAATGGGGATTCCCCCTTGGCCGCTTGTAAACATAACAATGACACCATCATGGAGGGAGAAGGCAAAATGGGCTGTATTGATTCCTTTCTTCCACTGTTACCATTTTGGGACTGAGGAGGAAGGAACGGTAATTTATATCTCTTTTTAAATGCAAAATAAATAGACTTATATTTTGAATTGACAGCTATCTGTACTTGTAAAGAGAAACTGTAATATCCAAACAAAATGAGGGAGGAGACAGTGTGAGGAGAAATATGTCTCCCATGTGATGAGAAGGCAAACAGATAATTAGGAAAGAAAGCAGAAAGAGAGAAATCATGCAATGGGGTTAGGAGAATAATGTATTTAATTTTAAAACGGCTTTGTGAAGCTTAAAGGAAAAAACAATGATCCCAAATGCTTTATTGATCCTGTGGAATGAAGTCCTTAGAATAGAATTAATAATTGTGAATATTTGGAACTTGATTTATTTATAAATTTCTATAAATTGGAAAAAATGAAATGATTTATCAATATATTTCTTCTCACCTTGTTCTACATGCCAGCCATGAGACCCAGACTGAGACTGGGAAGAGGAGGATGAGTGGCTGTGAGTTAATGAAGGCCTACTTTGGGATGAAGAGGAAGATAGATGGTGACTTCCTCCTCCAGAACCCCTTCCATGTGAAATTCCACCAGATGACTGTCCTCTGCCGCCGCTGCCACCACCTCTTCCTCCTCCAGATAGTCCTCCACTAGGTGATTGTCTTCCACTGTCACTTCCTCTTCTCCCAGGACTTCCTCCTGGTGAGACTCCACCAGATGATGGTCTTCCTGCACTTCCTCCATGTGAAATTCCACTATATGACTGCCCTCCTCTTCCTCCACTTCCTCCTCCTCCAGAACTTCCTCCTGGGGAGATTCTACCAGATGAGTGTCCTCCTACTCCTCCGCTTCCTCTCCCTATAGAACTGCTTCCTTGTGAAGTTCCACTAGAACTTCCTCCATGGGAAATTCCACCAGTTGAGTGTCTTCCTCCACTAGTACTTCTTCCACCTACAGAACTTCCACCATCAGAAATGCCACCATATGAATGTCCACTTCCACTTTCTCCTCCCCCTCCAGAACTTCCACCTCGGGAAGTGCCACCATAGGAATGTCCTCCTCCACTTCCTCCTCCTGAACTTCCTCCTGATATGCCACCAACTGAATGTCTTCCACCTCCTGAACTTCCACCTGTTCCTCCACTTCCACCTCCGTGTATGTTGGCCCTTTAAGAAAGAAGAAAAAAACAGAGACATCATTGTATGGGAGAGAGGGGAGAGATAGATGTACTGTATGTCTCTGTTCTTATCATTATGCCCTTGCGTGCCTTGTTCATTTCAGGTCAGATCATTAATTGTTGAGCTAAATTGGCTTTGTGAAAGAAGGGATAAAAGCCTTTTTAGGGAAAATATTATTGTTGATACTTTGTTGTAAAACTTGGAACACACTTGTGTTAAATGCATTGCGGAGCACATTAGTCATTCTGAGGTTTTATTGAAAACAATGCAAAAGGTTTTTCATAAATTCCATTGATTTTGATGCAAGTGCTATTAAGTTACTTTTGAATCCAATTTGTGGTCTTTTAATTATAGATATATTGAATGTCAAAGGTAGGGTAACTGAGTGATACAGCACTTGACAAGTTGGTGCTTTTTTAAAAAAAAAACTTTCTTTTTTAAAACAAAGACTTGGAGCCCCTGGTGGCGCAGTGGGTTAAACCCCTGTCCCGGCAGAACTGAAGACCGACAGGTCGCAGGTTCGAATCTGGGGAGAGGCGGATGAGCTCCCTCTACCAGCTCCAGCTCCTCATGCAGGGACATGAGATAAAAACAATCAAATCATTTGGGCGTCCCCTGGGCAACGTCCTTGCAGACGGCCAATTCTCTCACACCAGAAGTGACTTGCAGTTTCTCAAGTCGCTCCTGACACAAAAAAAGACTAAAGATTATAGTTTATAAAATAGAATCTCCAAATTGCCAAATTATGAGATGACAATACAGAAAACACCAAAGACCAAAACCAAATGAGATTGAATAAATGGAATAATGTATATACAGCATGCATGCTATAGTAAAGACATATATACAATACAAAACACTATATCAAAATGATAATTTTAAAAAAACATCAGTGAGTTAATTCTGCTTACTTTCTCATGTCATAGGGCAGGCCTGTATATTATTTTTTTATTCTATCGCTGTGTTACTTATGCTCATAATATTGCTCTAGTTAAAATAAAGTTTTACTCTCAGAATTGGTTGCTGTAAATATTATTTATATTTTGAGGAAGACCTTTTGGTCAAAATGCATTGCCTAATACGTTTTGATTCCATTATTCTGTATATTGTATATGTTTTTGATTATAGCATTTTTTATGTTGTATACAGTATAATCCCTGTATCTGTGGGGAATACAACCCAAGTCTCCCTGTGGATAACTGTAACTGTCAATAATACCAAACCCTATCTTTTTACTATACTTGGGTCATGAGCATGCTATGGAATCACACTGGAAGACTTAGAGGAACCCATAAACATCTAGGAGGGAGGGGATAATTTCTGGAGTATTGTGATTGAAACAATGGATATCAAATCTGTAGATAAGGGGATTCGTACTGTACATTTTGAATGCATTATTTTCTTTATGCCATCCTGCTTATTTTTATTTTGTCACCTCTGGTGTTTTACCTACTATGGTTCCTTATCAATACCCATTTTGAACTCTCCTGCAATGTTAGTCCGATTTTTAAACCACTACATCACAGGTACATTTTCATAATTTGTACATACGCAAGATGCTTCCCTTCCTCTAGCAGTTGACGGTACTGGTTGATCTCCTGTTCCAAATGGGTCTTGATGCCGAGGAGCGTCTGGTACTCTTGAGTTTGATTCTGAATCTCTCCTTTGATGCCAGCCAACTCTGCTTCCACTGGTTCTACTTGGCTTGCAATCTGTTGCAGCTGCATGTTATATCCCCCCTCGGTGTTATTCAGATTGTTTTGCAAAGCCTGGATCTAGTGTTGCAAACAAAAACAGACCTTTCAGAAACTGGATCAGAGATAAGAATGAGAATGGGATGATAGCTGAAAGAACACAAAAACCATGCCCAAATCTTGCTGTAGAACGGTTAGCATAGCAATAGCTACTATGGCTGTTTAATCAGACTTCTGACTCTCTGGGGCACTGCAAAAAGCAAAGCAAGAAACTGAAGTAATGATACACAATCACGTCTTCCCTATCCATTTTGCCTTTGCCACTTCAGCTGGTCAGGGACAGAGTTTCTGTGAGACACAGATTGAGAGTACTTCTTTCAAAACCTCTGAATAGAGTATTGTGGTACACAACATATATGCTGGGTGTTGCCATTGTCACAAAAATTATGACCAGAATTCTATTTGGGTATCAAGTGAACATAACATCTGGTTGCACTGGTGACTGTACTTCTTTGTACTGTTGTGTGTGAAAATATCCGATACCCCTTGGTGCAAGCAGCTTACCATTTACCCACAGCTTCAAGGCAGCTATGGGTTGGGATCTAGAATGCTACAGTGTAGCACTTTAGTTCTATTGTTGCTCTGCTACTTCTCTCTACTCAACACCCACCATTCACGCTTGAGCCAAGGTAGCAATCCCATCTATGATCCATTCAGTTGCTCATAGAAATTGTGTGTAGTTGGAAAAACATCAGGCAGGACACAAATTTATAATATCAGTGAGAGCCACTAGACCCCTTCTGTGAAAATCACTTTGTGTCTGGCTACTGCTGAATAGCCAGACATTTCACCAGTACGCCCCCCCCCCCACCTGCAAATTTTCCACTACACAGGTTAAATGGTGAACTGAAAAGTATGGCTTTGAAAGAAAATAATAACCTCTGTAACAACAGGCAGTTCCCAAGTTACCAACAAGATAGCTYCTGTTGGTTTGTTCTTAAGTTGAATTTGTTTGTAATATGCAAAGAAACATTACTAAATAATTTGAAGCATTGGTTGTAAAGATTTCTTTGTGCTTTCCAAAAAGATACATGAAGTTTGTTTTTTTAGTTAAAAAAATTAACTTTTCAAGATCTGCACTGGAGGGTATGAAGACCCGTTATGCCAAATTATTTAAGTGAAGCAAGGAGTTTAAATCTTTGCTCAACATAGTCATGATGTTACATACTGTGCTAAGCTGAGTCTGGAGCTCGATCTCCAAAGTCTGATATTCTCGGGTGAGCTCTGTGATTTGGTGGCGGCCAGACCCACTTTCCTGATTTTCTGGACTCTGCTGCTGACGAGCTTCCTCCATCTGGAAAAAAACAAATAGTGACTCATGAATTTTAGATATTCTCATAAATATACACATTCCCAGCAAAGCAGAACAAGATTCTGCAAGCATTATCCTCAACCCAAGGGTTTCCAAGGTGCTGCAGAACAGATAATAGTGAAATGATATCTGAAGGGCTCTCCCAATTGTGAGATGCTTTGAGACAACTCATAAAGGCATGACCTTGAGGTGGTCTTTCCAATTGCCTTGATATGTCCCAACTAATTAACACTGCCAAGCTGAAAAAGCATGGTTTGACGGAGTGGCATTTTCAGATGTGAATATTGTCAATACATCTAATGAAATGGAATCTTGTCCATTCTTTCCAAACATATAGCACACTTTGCAAGGCTTATCTCAAATCCTGAAGCTGACTTCCAAGCTGACTTTGAATTTTGTAAGGAGATACCTGAATGGAGCAAAGTAGATGCCATCCCCTGTCTCTGGGCTGCTTGGGGAAAGTGGGAAGGCAATGGAAATAGCCACAGCCAATTCCCAAACAAGAAGTGACACAACTGCTTACATGGCATCAAAGTTGTTGTTTACTCCAGATTCTCAGGGAAAATTTGGAGCAAACCATGACTTCTGTTAGTGCAGTTCAAGGTTGTGTTAACCTGAATCAGCCCTGTGTCATGCAGCCTCCACGCCTCAATACTTTGGGAGAAAGGATCAATGTAGATGGACCCCTTGGAAGCACATATTAATTAAATATATATATATAAGCATATTGACAAAAGTGACACCTGTAAATGTGGAGGATATAGTAAAGCCTGCACCAGCAATTGGGTATCTTTCCATTGTGAGTTATTAGAAAGAATAACATGAGTAGTAGCTGCAGTAGCAATAGGAGCAGATGCAAATGACAAAGAGAGGAAAGCTCTTTGTCATTGCCATCTCAGGTAACTCACCTTGGCTTCATACCATTGTTGAACTTCCTTGCGGTTTTTCGTAATGATCTCTTCATATTCATGTCTCAGGTCATTTAGTTTCTTTGTCAGATCCTGGCCTGGAGTAGAATTGACCTCCACGTTGACATCACCACCAGACTGGTGATGCAGACTCTTCTTGAGCTGAAGACCCAGGGAAAATAAAATGGATAAGTATATGATGAAACATTGGCCAATGCCCTAAAGCCACCAGACCCCATCTGATCTTGGAAGCTAAGTAGGGTCAGATCTGTTTAGAACGTATATGAGTGACTGCCAAGGAATAACAGGTGCTATTGGTTATATTTCAGAAGAAGAAACTGCCAAAATCACCTTTGAGTAGTCATTGGGTAAGAAAACTTTATGAAATTCATGATGTTGCCATAAATCAGCAAGCAATTTGATATGCATCTATATACACACACCATAGTTGTGGTCTGGGGAAAAGATTTTATGTTATCAGGTCAGGACCGTCCTAGGCTGATGGACACCTGAGGCTGATGGACAACTCTTGGTGATACCATTAAGCATGACACTTTAAACATCAACCACAATTACAGAATATACAATTAAAGTAAAAAAGATCAGATTTAGTAACTGAGGGTTATGTGTATATTAACTTTTTGAGACAATGTTCTTGGTCTGAGGTTCTTCCTCTTTATCCTAAGTCAGAAAAGGATGGGGCTCTGATATTTAGGAATCCCAGATTATTCATGTATGTTTATTTACTCATGAAATGTGGGTGGAGAATGTAAGCAGAATCATGCTAGATCAAACCAATGTATTCTAGCATTCTGGTCACATAATGGCCAACATAAGAAGTCCTTAAGCAGCCAATGAGTGCAACAACACATTTTTGCTACCTACTACTTATGCTCCTCAGTGACCTTATCAGAACTTACACTATTGAAAGCAGTGATATAAATTAAGTTCTGCTGGGATTGGTTCTGGTATCCTATGGATACCAAAATCTATAAATACTCAAGACCCATTATATACAATGGTGTAGTAAAATAGTGTCCCCTATATAAAATAGCAAAATCAAAGCTCACTTTGTTGAATTTATAAATATTTTCAAAGTATGGATAACTAATCTGTGGATGCAGAATCTATTGATGGATTGTGCTGACTGTATAATTGATTTTGTAAACATCTGTATATGCAGTGGATATGGAAAAATGTGTATGGCTGCTAACCTTTCTAGAAATATATACACAAAGATCTGAAAGACATTTGTGGATCTCTCTAGCTGGATCACATAATGGCATCCAGTTTTTCTGTTAGTACCATACCCCCTGCCATTCATATCAAAAACACAACTGTTCATTAACAAAAGAAAAAGTTGTGGCACCTAAAAAACTAATATTTTTTTTAATGGAATGAGATTACAACAATCAATTTCTAAAGCATCCACAAAAGTTTCTACTGTAATTCTGGTAAATGTTCAGCAGAACTAGTCCTTTTTCCTTTTTTTTTTTTTGCCTGAAGTGACAAAGGCAAGAATGTTACTTGAGCATTAGTAACAAGATAGTGCAAACACCCAAATAATAGGCTGGTTGCAAGGGGTGTCTTGGAGAACTGAAGAGAAATGGTCCATGCTACCCAAAAGCATCTCCTCCATGGAACCATAGACTAATAATAGGGGCATCTCTACTATTGAGATATATTTCCAGAAATATTATTCAAAATTGCTAACGAAAAATGAGTAATCATTACAAATGAACTATACTGAAAGAAAGACTTACTATCTGCAATTTAATACCTGAATGTAAAGTTTAAATTTATTTGTTTAGATTATGTTGGTTTTTTATTTATTAATTTCTTGCGGGTTTTATAACTTTTCATGAGATGTTGTGGTCTGATGATTATGTTTATTTTTAATAGTTGCAATGTTTTTGTTTACATGTTGATTACCGCTTTGAGCCCTAATCTGGGAGAAAAGCAGGATAGAAATAATAATAATAATAATAATAATAATAATAATAATAATAATAATAATAATAAGGCAAAAAGAAAGAGGAAATATTACCTCATCATGATTCTTCTTAAGATGTACCAGTTCTTCATGGAGAGACTCATATTGCATCTCCAGATCAGACTTATCCAGGGTCAACTTATCCAACAAGGGACGTAGACCTTGGAGGTCAGCCTCAACATTTTGACGCAAGCCATTCTCGGTCTCATATCTAATCCACAAGGAAGGAAACCACAACATCAGTCAAAAAGCCACGAGTCATTTATAGAAAAGTATATTTTTTTACTTTGTCTTTTGCTACCAGTATATTTTTTTGATTTTGGCAGTGAATTTTTCTCTTTACCAAACCTTTCTTAGCTTATGTTTTCATTTCTAATTCCATTGTTATGACTCCCCAATCTCCTCAGAATATGTGCATATGTGTATATATATATGCATCCATGGACACACATGTGTATACTGCAATTGCCACTGCCACCACATTTACCACTTGCTTTAATACAGTTTGTTGGTGTTGGATATAAATTAATCGATTTGCAAAAATGTTCCATACCCTCAGATCTCTCCTAATGAAAAGATCAGTACTTAACTGTCCTGAACTCTTGATCTCTTCTGACAGAGATAGGAGGGAAATTATTTCAGTTCACTTTAATACAAATATACAATAATATTTTCCAAAGTGTGTATCAAAAGTGCATATAAATAGTGGAGATCGTTAACAAATATGTGTGCAAAATTAAAACAAATACACAGATCACACAAGATTTGACATATGTATATACACATATTCATTAAAAACATAGTTCAGCAATCTCACATGAACAGGGGATGGGTTTAGATGCAGGTAGGATTTGAAGAAATGCAGCAGAAGTAAGACTGATAGTTTTTCACATCTCTAACTGGAACATTTAGACGGTCTGGATGAGGGCGAACAAATTGAAATTGAATCCAGGCAAGACAGAGGTACTCCTGGTCAGTCGTAAGGCCGAACAGGGCATAGGGTTACAGCCTGTGTTGGACGGGGTTACACGCCCCCTGAAGGCACAGGTTCACAGTCTGGGTGTGATCTTGGACTCATCGCTGAGCCTGGAACCCCAGGTTTCAGCGGTGACCAGGGGAGCATTCGCACAGCTAAAACTTGTGCACCAGCTGCGCCCGTACCTTGGGAAGTCTGACTTGGCCACGGTAGTCCACGCTCTGGTTACATCCCGTATAGATTACTGCAACGCTCTCTATGTGGGGTTGCCTTTGAAGACTGCTCGGAAGCTTCAAATGGTCCAATGGTCGGCAGCCAGGATGCTAACAGGAGCGGCACTCAGGGAACACGCAACTCCTCTGTTGCGCCAGCTCCACTGGCTGCCAATTTGCTACCGGGCACAATTCAAAGTGCTGGCTTTAGCCTTTAAAGCCCTAAACAGTTCTGGCCCGACCTATCTGTCCGAATGCATCTCCTCCTATGAACCAGTTAGGACGTTAAGATCGTCTGGGGAGGCCTTGCTCTCGGTCCCGTCGGCTTCACAAGCACGCCTGGCGGGGACGAGAGACAGGGCCTTCTCAGTAGTGGCCCCTCGGCTGTGGAACGCCCTTCCTACAGACATTTGATTTGCCCCCTCCTTACTGGCATTCTGGAAAAGCGTGAAGACCTGGYTTTTCGAACAGGCTTTCAACTAAGCAGTACAATTGAGTGATTATTGGAATGGAATAATGGACAAYGAGATCGGATGCTGATTTTATTGATGAGACGTGATGGATTGTTTATTGCTGTACTGTTGTATTGACTCTGGTGTTAATTAATTGATATTACTGTTTTAATTGATTACTGATTTTGTATTGTCTTGTTGAAACTTGTTGTTAACCGCTCTGAGTCGCCTGAGGGCTGAGAAGAGTGGTATATAAATGAAGCAAATAAATAAATAAATAAACATTTCTTCATCAGTCTGTATTCCTCCTTTTACTCCTTTCCCTAATTCATAGGAGATAAATAGAATAAAGAAGATGAGCCACTATAGAATAGACTCACTTAAGTTTGAAGTCTTCAGCAGCCATTCTTGCATTATCGACATCAAGGAGTATCTTGTTGGTCTCAAATGATGAAGAAATAAGCTGCAAGTGAAAGAATAGGCACAATGCTCCAGAACAATGATATAGTATTCTTCCTATCCTCACCCTTTTTGCCCTTTTGTCTGTTGCAATGTCACTTACTTTGTTCAAACTTGCATGAAAAGTTCATCTGATAGTGATACTAAAGATGATACTTAGCTTTGTAGTGGAGGCTGTGTATTATGTTTTGGACCAATGTGTGTTCCTACCCATTTCTAGTGAGGGATATTCATCGAGGATATCAAGGCCAATTTCATCCCTAATCCAGACCTGAACCCAGTCTGAAACCTAAATCCTTTGAGAGCCCTTAGAGATAAGCCACCACTACCTACTCAAGGGTCTTGGGTAAAAATAATGTTATTTACACACTCTCCAATTGTTCCGATTGGGCAGGAACAGTCCTAATTAATACTCTATCATATCACTTTTTGAACAAAGATCCCAGTTTTGTTGCCCTATCCTCAGTGACTTCGCTTGTTTGCCAACTGAGTTCAGATGAAATATTAATATACACACAATTAACTCAGCAGGGAAGAGGAAAGAAGATGATGTAATCTGTCCTTTCCCCCAAATGCCCAGGCAAAAGTGAACTGCTACACCCCCACCCTGCACTACTTTGTCCTTTCTTCCTCGTTAATAGCCATCTTGACCACACTATGATATTGCTTAGCTATATGTGTTTGCCTGGTTGAAAAGATGGATGCCCAGATTCCAGGTGAGCCCACAGATAGCTCTAATAAGCTAATATGCTAAAACTCAAGTCAAGAGGGCATGTGATTGTTGGCATCACTCCAGGCATCTCAGCATCATCAGGCTGGATCAACTGAAACTGATCCCTCAAAAATCAGATAAAATGCATTGAATACCTCACCAGGGCTTTTTTCAGCCTTAATGTCAAACCTATTACAAAGACATGAGATAAGTAATTAAAAGCAGATGTGTGCAATTTTGTATCTTGACTTCCAGGATTTTTCTATCACCTAGTTTTGTCAACCAGAGGATCATTGTGAGGTTAGGGCATGCCAATCACACTGACAACCTATGAGACATCTGACACAATTATGTAAAGTGGGACCTGCAGCAATATATTGCAATATATACTCACTCACCCACTTAAGAGATACGTTGTTGTTTGGGGTTCAGACAACTATGCTATCTTCTACAATACTCCAAGCCAGTGGTTCCCAACTTTTGGTCCTCCAGGTATTAGGATTTCAACTCCCAGAAGACCCAGTCAGCTTGGTCAACTGTCATGAATTCTGGGAACAGACGTCCAAAACACTTAGAGAATCAAAGTTTGGGAACTATAAGCAGTCCAGACTTCAGGTCAGTCAATGAACCATTTCCTTCATTTCCCCCTATTTCTTTTCTAAATCATTCCATTGCTTCTGAAGAATGTGAGTCAATGTGAGTACTGTATCTTAAGTCTTGTCAAGAAAGGAACTACCCATTCTCTGGGTAGAATGGCCATCCTAGGAGAGCTGAGAAGAAGCACCCTCTATACTCTTTCTACCACAGTGTCACTTCTGGCCTTTCTGAATGCCTGGGCAGGACATTGTTGGCAATAACTATTAGGGACACCACACCCTCTGAAAAGATATTGCTGTCTTCACCTCTTTGAGAAATGACCTTCAACGTATCTGTGGGTCACAGAAAAATCCAATATACATGAAGTCAACTTATACCTGAGTATATAGGGTACATTAGTTGAACCTAGTACTTCACTAATCCATGATAGTAAAGCTCCGATATTTTAGGTCAGGAAATAATAACTTGAACTCTAGAAACCCAATTAATCATCTATAGTCATAGGCTTTTTATTTATAGAGGAAATATTACATATGTTACCTTTTAAATATAGATACCCTGTCAAAAATTCATTTAAGTATAAGCATCCTTCCACTGAAATGTCACATTACAGAAACTAGGTGTAGGCCAGTGCTCTTTGGGCAATTATGATAAATCTTTCTAGAGCACAAACACCCTAAGAAATGAGATAAGGTTATGGGCAAACACAACATTTAAAAATCTGTTTTTTTGGGACATAATTCCCATTTTTGTCTCAACTAGAAAATATTCAGTAAGTGGGATGTATGTGAATAACAATTTACCAGTTTGATTCAGTTATCTGGTCTCCCTGGAACTATCTTTTAGGAGTTGACTGCAACTCCCAAAATCTGCATTCTGTATTCCGGGAGTTGTAATACAAAAAAGTAACTTTTCCAGGTATTGGGCAATGTCCATGCAGCCACACTCATCACCTACTCACTATAACCCACATTTTATTACCCAAAGAATACATCAGGAGGTGAATGAAGATGAACCCAAGCTCCCTTATTAGTCAGAAACCCAAAGAGAAGTCCTTCTGAGAGTGCTAAAACAATGCTAGAAGATGATATCCTACCTCATTGATGAGCTGGTCAATCTCTGTATAATATGAACTGTAATCCTTTGGTTCAGAAGTCTGGCCATGCTTCTGGTACCATTCCCTTATTAGGGTCTCAAGCTGATTGTTTTCTGATTCCAAGCTTCGCACCTTGTTGAGATAAGATGCCAAGCGATCGTTGAGGTTTTGCATGGTGCTTTTCTCATTGTTAGACAGGAATCCAGTATCATCGCCACCAAAACTAGCCCCTCCAAAGCCACCTCCAAAGCCACCACCATGGCCAAATCCTCCACCAAAGCTGCCACCTCCATGGCCACCTCCAAAGCCACTGCTACTACCAAATCCTCCACTAAAGCTGCCACGTCTACTACTGCCACCTCCATAGCCACTGCCACGACCAAATCCTCCACCAAAGCTGCCACCTCCAAGTCCACCGCTGTGGACACTGCAACCTCCAAATCCTCCAGAGACACTATGGCCTACTCCAGCTCCAGAGCCACGTCTGGATCTTCCCGCATCATAGCTTTCACCAGAGGAGTTTCTGCCAGAGGAGTTGTGCCTTATTGAGGACCCCGAAGAATACCCTCCACCACCACTCCCACTACCAGAGTGTCCACCGCCACTGCTTCCTCCAACAGCACTACTTCCACCACCAACACAGCTACAACCACTTCCACCTCCACTACTAGATTGTGACTGCCTGAAGTTATAGCTGTAGCTCATTGTGACAGCTGTGAGACAACTCTATTAAAAATGTTACGTGCAGAGCTGATGGGATCCAATCTGCCGTGCTTTCCCCACAGTGAACTTTATTTATACTTTCTCTCCTGGGAGGTTCTATATCTCATGTGGGCTTGTCCAGATTTATTTGTTAACACCAAAGGCAATTATTATCACTATAAAATTTTTAACAATCTCAAACAATGCAGCTTGTTGTTGTTTTGTCTGGGGGTGTCTATGTGAGTTTATTTATTTAAACGACCAGCTGTGTAATTTTCACCTGGGTGGTTCTGAATGTTGCATTTTGATCAATTCTATGATCTAATCTGCAAAGACTTGAGTTTCTTGCATGTTTGGACCTACCACTTTTAAAACTATGCAGGGACCATTACTGAATGTTGTACTATCTCAATATCACTGGGAACACAATTATATGTACATCCTCTTTTATTCAAATATGTGATGTGGACTATTCCTAGAGAGAAGCTTGGAACCAGAGCTACAACAAGCTGAAATAAGTCTGTACAAGTACAGTAACACAAAGAGAAATGCAGTAAGGATAAATTTGTTCATTTCACATTGTAAAAACGTACTATGGTAATTTTACACTTTTGAATCAATGTCTGAACTCCTGTTTGCATTTTGCAATGGAGTTTTCCAATTAACAAAAGGGTGAAACCAATCAAATATGAACAAAAAGGGGGAAAGTTTAAGAATGTGTCCATATTGCATCCCAAACATAAGATAAAATATTGCATATTTGGCAATACTATGCACAAAAATTTCTAAAATAACAAGGAAATTGCTTGAAAAAGATTACATGTTGCTTAACAAAAATGTTCATAGTTGGCAAAATACCCTAGAAATGCATATGAATTTGAATACAAACTTTTAAAAAATATGTCAAGCGTAAGGTTTTGAAATAGTGACTTCAATGTTGAAATTATGTCCTAAAGCACTGTGTAGGACTAAGGCTCTCCAGATATTGTTGAACTACAACTCTTAGCATTCCTTACCACTAACTATGCTACTGGTTAAAGCGATATGACATTTCAGTTCAACAACATCTGGAGGGCTCAAAATGACTGACAGATAAAATCCATCTGAAAGTAGTCTACCCTATATCTAGTTCCTAATCCCAACTGAGTTTCCCAATTGAAAAGTTGAATAAGATGTAAATGCTTATGTAAATCCCATTTCTTCAATGAGTCCTTAATTGGGGGCTAGTAATTTGATTTAGGCCAATACAAATGAATGGGTGTGTGTATGTTGAAAGGTGGAAGCCAGGTCTGCTTTGCAATGCAGTGGAATGACTGATAGCTTGAATTCTCTTTGGGTGGCCTAGTCTATAATATCAGGGACTGGTGGGAAAAAATACAAGATCAAAATTGATTGCAGTATTCTTCTTGGGAAACTCAGTGTCTAAATAGGACATCTACATGCATTTCTCAGAAAGGAGGATCCCGAATTTATGATTCTTATTTCCTGAGAAGTATTTGTGGATGACTGAGTGCCTGTTTTTCCATGGATGCCTTCAGTAGCATTGCTCCAAAAGATGTGCCTGGGAGTTACAATTTACAGTATGTGGGAAATTAACTTTTAGTCTCAGTTTCTGCATTGGGTCCATGATATCTACTCTACAGACTAACCTAGGCTTTGAGATCTTCAGAATTTGAATTTGAATCCTTGTACAGTAATAATTGTCTCCTCTATTATCCTGTTTTCCTCATTGTACATAAAAATGTGAAATACAAGTGCACGAACAATCCTAAATTTAGTGTTCATTGATATATCTTACATGTCAATGTCTTATCTTGTTCCTCGTAGCTGTATTTCCCAATCCTAGGATATATCTGCATGCCAGCTACATGACCTAGGAGGCATTTACGGGCAACACCAGCTCTTTGGCTTAGAAATTGAATTGACTAGGCTTAATGTAAAGGGGAAACTTTTACCTTTATCCTTCATTGGGGACTTCATCTTTCACTTTGGAAGTAGTTAAAATATTTACATGACTATTGAATTATGGATTTCTTAACATGCCCACATTAGCATCCTATTGATAATTACATTGTCATCAAGGTACTTGCTGATAGAGTCTTGTATAATCCATTCCTCGAACCAAAAAGGCTCTGTGTATGTCTGGCTGTCATGTCTGTGTAATGCAGTGGTTCCCAACCTTTTTTTAACCAGGGACTTTTTTCAACCAGGGACTTTGCCCAAGGATCTGGGCACTCTCCAACATTAGTACCAAAAAGGTTACAAATCAGTTTTTGGCCAACTTTAGATTAGGTTTGACGATTTGGAGTGCCTATTCAAAAAATTACATTGGATAGACCATATCAGCTCTAATTTCTGATACAGAATATATGCCATACAGTAGTTGCCATCTGCTCCCCACAGAAAACCATATTTAATACTCTAGAGTTGATGTGGTCTATTCAATGCAATTGTCTGAATCAGCATCCCAAATAACTTCAGGAACAGGCCTAAAAATGAAGACACCAAGATTTTTTTTTGGTTGGGCTGTGTTATTATCTCTGGATTTTGTTAATGCTCATGTAAAAAAAAAAGAAGGGGAGGGGGCTGAGGTTAAAAAAAATAGAATAAGCAGAGTCTGAGGTCCAAGAAACTGTCACTAATGACTTTAACAACAACAACAACAACAACAACTTTGGGGGACTACACAGGGTCTGCTTTCCCATTACAACTCTTGTGTTTGGCAATGGGAGCTAATAATAACAACAACTACAGCAACTACTACTACTACTACTATTACTACTACTACTTTCGGGGACTCTCTTTCTCTCTCCCGTTCTCCTCCAATGGCTCCGAGGAAACTGCTAGGGGGTGAGAGGGCAAGAGCAATGACAATGGCCTCCTTTCTTCCTTCTTTCTCTCCCTCACCTTCTCTCTCTAGCTCTCTTCCAATGGAACCGGGCCATAGGAAGGCAAGAGGGCAAAGGCAATGGCACTGGTCTCCTTCCTTCCTTCTCTTCCTCTCCTTCTCCCTCTCATTCTCCTCCAACAGTAGCACACACTCCGACCATGGACCGTATTTAAGGTCTTGCAACTCACCAGTGGGCAGTGGCCCATGGGTTGGGAACCACTGATGTAATGGTACATCTGCTTTAGGCCATAGATTGAACTTCAAATACTTACAGAACCCTATTCCATAAAGAGGCATCTTTTTGATGTTCAGATGAAAACCTATAGTGGTTTTACATCCCCACTGATATGAAATATACCAGCTGGGGCAAATCTTTATGCTTTGAAATTGAATTTGGGACTTTAGTCATGCCACATTCTTACCAACTGCTTCCTCACAACAGAGCATGGATGCACTTTAAATCTGGTTTCTGCCTCCTACAGAATTCTGAGGTTTGTAGTTTAGTGTGGCCCGGGACCTCTCTGGCTGAGCATTTTAAAGGTCCCTCTTCTAAACTACTAGCCCCAGAATTCTGCAGGAAGCAGAAACTGGATTCAACGTAGATCCATGTTCCAGTGTGATGAGGTCCCAAGTGCACTGTAAAAAGATCCTCACAGAAGCATGTGTTTACTGTCAGCGTTTAGAAGGACTTACAAAATAATAATTTAGACATTGAAAATGTTGCGTTTGCATACTTATATACACCACCTACATAATTCACCATAGGTTGTAGCAGCTGCTCAAATTTAGATTGTTAACAGTTGAAATATGACTTCCTCTGTCTCTCCAACACTATGTTAAGAAAAGCCTTAATTGTATCTCAGAAATGTGTTCCTTGTGATTTATGATCATGTTTCTCTTTTGTTGGTTGTTTCTTTGATAAAGAGACAGGCCTTATCTGTTGTTTCCATGACATAATATTTTCTCTAAATAGGATTTGATGTATGCTTCCAGGGCAAAAGTTTGAAAAGTAATGGGGAGGGAATACTTGCAGACATCATAGCTGTCAACATTTTACACATGAAAACTGGAGCCTTGCCTACAATACCACAAAAGTGGATGCTACAGTTCAGATGACATATGGATACTTCTAGGGAGGATCCATCTCCTTTTTTGATTTATTCCAACTTTGCTCTGAGCTAAGCAAAATCGGGGGAAAGACCAATGTTTCCTGGAAACTCTGGAGTTGTCTTAGGTTCTGTTGCCATGTGAGCAGCTGGATTGGACACAATCAGTTGTCAACTTGGTGGAAGCTGCACTATCTCTTTTCACTTTGTGATCAACACAGAGGGTGAGAGTGATGTCTCCTTGTTGATGAAATGTCCAGACAACTGTTTCTGAACTTAGCTGAAGTGATGACATGCTGGGCAAACTTTCCGTGGGGCTCCAAGAAAGGTGAGGAAGAGGTTACAGTGATGCCAAAAACAGAGGAAAGACCACTGGGGCCATCATGGGATTGGGCTGCATGGACAATAATATATCATCACATAGGGCTTGGCCTGGTATATGTGGTCCAACCATGAATAAAATGAGATTGCAATGCTTTGGACTCAACCTGGATTAAATGGACAATTAGACATAATTCCAAAGCATTGGACTATGACTAGCAAAATGGTATCAAACTGGGTTGCCAGAGGGCTGCCATAGGTTGGAAACATCATGAAGGAATACAACAACAACCAACAATACATGCAATCATAAAGGGTGATTCTGATATATTTCCCCTAATGGGGCTCATAGTGAGTTTAGGGAAGGGTAAGCATTGTGGTTTGATCAAACCCATAGTTCCTACAATTGTCTGAAAGTCGAACACAAGGAGATTTTAATCATCCTTCTCCCACATAATATGTGGTTTGTTTCACAGAAGCATTAACAAAATACACCCTGTTGCTGCAAGTAATTTGCAATGCATACCACATTGTAATCAACTCCCACGTACTTAATCCAAATTACCCAATGCTTGTAGGTGACTAATAATATTTTTCAAAGGACAGTCTCTTCTAAAGAAAAAAAAATATCTGTTTGCTTTTTATATAAATGCATCAATATCCACCAATTTCTTCCCATGCTTCATATGTGGAAAATGGAAATAAAGACATTCTAATGTTGGTGAAGCCAAAA